CCCTTAAAACCAAAATTACAAAAAGCTGTACTATGCCCATAACCATTTTTGCAATGGGTACTCAAGATGCAGTGCAAAATTTACAAGTTAATACTACTGATTGTAGATGTTTTCAGGCTTTATGCTCTGCTGACTAGCTGGCTATGAAACTGTCCTTCATGATATAGATACACCTTCAATTAAGACTTACAAAAGGGATAGAACACTAAATATTGAAGAATTAAATCAGAAATAATATTCATATGTTTAGTGTCATTAGTGTGCATCATGAAAAAAAGGGAGTTAATCAAGAGACCTGCACAAATCTGGAGTTTCAAGCTGGAATCCTGCATCTTTTCCTACAAGTTTCTGAATCCAGTTGCACACCTCCAAGACAGCTTAAAACCATGTACTGTAAAGTAGCTGCAGCTATTGCACAAGGAAGAATACACTAATTTTAGTCTGGTTTGCTTCAGCCTGGAACACGGGGTTATCACAAGAAAAAAATGCTTTAAAAAGACTGGATTTGATAAAGTGCAGAGCAGAGAGAACATTTCTGTAGCATTGGTTTGTTACTGTGGTGAAAATAATGCTCTGTCAGATAGAAATCTTTGTAAAATCCAGCTGTGAATGTGGATTATTGTCCCTCATATGGACAAATATAAGTGTCTATTGGGTACCATTTGATTTCAAACTGTCAGCTGAAATTTGTGCAGATGATGATGATGACACCAGTAGGACTATTGCAAAATATATTTTAAAATAAAAATACCATTTCCCTTTGGCAGATTGAGAACAGCTCGAGAACACTATGGAACTATTTTTAAGGCCATTGCTTTTACAATATTCAACATACTATTCTCCTTAGAATGCATTTTTCTGCAAAAACCTCATAATGTGCCTGCTGCAAGTATGATTTATTGCTCGTGCCCAGATGAGTGCCATTCACAATCTGCAACAAAAGCAGTAAGCAGAGGTGCAAAAGCAGGATGCTTTCCACCTCCTGAAAACACACTGAGGGGCAGTAGAAAAGAAATCATATTCTGGAGTTCTATCAGTTTGGGTTTGCTTTTGTTTTAAATTTATGAAACGTTTCCAAAGCCAAACAAGTAAAATCAATTCAATTTACAGCACCCTGAAAAACAGCACGTTGATATTCAAGAGTTGCAGAAAAGAAATAATCAAAGCCTCAAAATATTCCTGGCATAGGAGATTCTTTCCATGGCACGTTATTCATGAAGCACAATTCTGCTGGAACTTGCAGGTCTCCAAATGGCAACACAAAAGCCACGAGCAAAAATCTGCAAGTCTAAATACTCATTTGCAACAGACGTGGCACTATTCACTGAAGGATTTGTCATACTAAACAGTGAGCAAGAAATTGGGATCTATTTTTCTGTGATCTAGTATCATTTCATATCAGCACGTCAAAACTTGAAAGTAATATGCTATAAGGTAAATTGATCCTTGTCCTTCAAATGGGGTCTGTTATTGATTAAGTCTGAGTTTCTCAGGGGGTGACAGTAAGAGGGAGGACATATTCTTGCTGCTTTAGATCTGCAGAAATATCCTTGCCACACTGCATGAAACAGGAACACGTATCACACAAGGCTAATTGTGAATATAAATCAAACACATTTTCCTTGTAATTTCCAAGCAACAGCCTCTTGGCTTCACCATGTTCTTGCTGTTTACTGAAGTCCTCATGGCTTACAGTCATATTGCAGATAGTAAGAAGATAACAGGGAGTTTATAGACCCACCAACACAAAACTAATGCCTCATTCTTCCAGGCAAGCCTGAATTATTTGAAATATCTGGATAACCACCAAGCAAAACTTCACTTTTATCATTAAAAAAATGATCTTTCTCTTGATGTATACAGCAGTCCTGAAACCACCCCAGACAAGAGAAAAGGACTATGCCTCATTGCTACCTCCTTTCCCAAAGAGAAAAATAGACCTGAAACATCTATAATCAGTGTGGGATTAGGAAAATTTACTGTACTAAACAATTAAACAATCAAAATACCTAGCAAGTAGAAATAATAGCTGAAGAGAAGCTATGTGATGATCAAGATACATGTGCAGGAGTAACAGCAGGTAAAACTCTGAAGAAACCTGTGGGTTTGTTTTACTCAGGGCTTTGTTGCTCCTTAGATACCAATCCTGGAACAAAATCCATAGTAGAGAAAAATAATTTTTAGATCTCCATATGTCTAGCTTTTGCTCTTCTTGGCAGAATGGAAATAAAAAATCAGCATCGTGTGAATGTTTTATAACCAGATGCATGTTAAGGGTGTCCAATACTGAGTTTTGTGTGTTGAGTTGTTTGTTTTATTGACAGTCCCTTAAAACCACCAATGACACAACAGTAACACAGTAGAAAGTCAAAATAGCCATGGAGAGTTCAGTAGAATTTAATGGGTAGAACAATTTAAAAAGATAGCAGGAGATCTACATAAATCAATTTTAGATATCATTTTGAGTATGTGGGTGAGATGATTTACTGATCTGTGGAAAAAAACAGAGTATTTTAACAGGTTGCCTGGAACAAAATTAGAATTTTATCTAGAAGTACAGTCATGCAGAACCACGACAGATGACCATCTTGATTATCCTAAAATCACTGCTCAATTATAACACAACTTACATTATCTAACGTGAAAACCAGTTGAATTAGTAAAATATTTGTTGAGAAATCTTCACACACAAAACCAACTATTTATTGACTCTCCCATTCAGTAAATCTCCAAGAGTGCTAAAAAAGGAAATGCCAACAAGGGGAAACACACTCACCCTAAAGAAAATACTGCTTTAGTTTGTGATACAGTTTGTGTTTCATGACAGAAATACAAAACTGATCTGTGCACCCTCAACTGGAAATGCTGAGCACCCCCTTCCTCCTGCTGCACACCAACAGCCACCACAGAACAAAGCTACAAGATCTCATATATGACATGGTGTCTATGAGCTACATGGAGTTTCATTATTGGCTTAACTGGTAGATATCCAACCCTGATGGAACTGGAACTTCAAACTTCAAAAGGACAAAAATACCATTAACTGTATCAATAATCTGCTCCCCATTGAAAGGGGATATTCATATTACTCATGGAAATGTCTGTGGCTAAGATAAGGAAAGACAAAAATACGTCAAATTGGGGAAGGGAAGCAATTTCCTTTTTCCATACTATAAACTGGTGTTTCTTTTAGGATGAACACTGTTTTCTATTGTAACTGAAATGCTGTGTATGGAGGAATAATCACAATTTAATCAAGTCTCTTCTTACATTCTCTGTAAGGAGTCTTCCAAGAAATAAGTGCAATTAAGCCAGCAAGAACTTAGAAATTGCATGACATGACAGAAGAGAAAAAGGGCTAAAAAGGCCTAAAAAGGGGAAAACAAGGTATCTGAGAAGGTTTTTAGAATTCATATTGTCTGAAATTATTTGATAGCTCAGTGCAACAAATACAGAATCAAAATTAAAAAAAAAATCAGATCACTGACCTGGAAAGGGCTGAACAGCCCTCAGGCCACATCAGCTGTTCTGAACCATCCCTGCTACTCCTAACAAACTACTTCTGCTTATTGGATGGATATTTTGTCTAAAACTTACCAACCTGCATCCTACCATGCCAGATCTGGAGGCACTGGATGCTTGATGTCACCATGCTCTAGGTTTATTTTACTGACTGAAGAAGAGGAAGATTTTTTTTTTCCACCTTGCCCCGTGTCTCCTGAAAACTCTAATAGTTAATTCTCCAACTCTTAGACAAATCCAAGGATTTCAAATAATTCCTATAGCAATTCTCAATTCCACTTGATAATCCAGGGAGCCCTCAGCTCTCTTTTGCATGAATAACATAATTAGTGTGGAGAGGTGTCAATCATAGCCCATCTGCTGACTGCAACAGAAATTCTCACCTCATCCAGGTGTTGATTTGAACCACTGTTCTTACCAACTGGAGCATGTTTTGTCTCACCTCCTGCTTAACATCTCAAACTTAAGCACTGCAAGAGTCAGGCAGAGTTGCAGTCAGTTTGATAATCACCTCTGGGTGTAAATATATGCAAGGGATGTGAGCATAAGTATGGCTGGGGTAATTCAGACCTTGGACTGCATATAGAACCAACATCTTATCATTTTAATTCTTATAGATAGCTGGGAGAATGACCCATTTTCTCAGCAGCAGCAAAGACAAAGCTGCTGTAAGGCTATGAAGATGATTTAAGAGTCTGTATCAGTTTAGAGAGAGAAAAATTCTGCCAGTTCAGACAGTTGTAAAATTGCCACTTTATGGCTGTGTCTGCTTGGACTCTACCAAATCTAAGAAGCCACGATACCTATATTGCTATATCCAATGTTTAGCTTACATTACCTTGTCTCTGCAATCTAATCTAATGCTTAACATCACAGCCCTTCAATAATGAGACTCCATAGCAATTAAAACCAAATAAAACCAGTTACTTTCAAATGTTACTGAAGCTCAGTAGCGATTTGTCAGAGAATAAAGACTCAGAATGAAAGATAAAATGTCCTTTCAACTTTTGATCCACCAAGAACCCATCTATCCAGTTTTCTGCCCCTCTCAAGACAGTGGTGCTTTAAAATTATGCCAGCATCCTTACAAATGTCTTGATTGCAAGAAAATAAGCAGATAGCAGCATAATTAAAGACAGCAATCTACTCTTTGCAATTGTCTAGTCATTGAGAGAACCAGATTCATTGAGGCACAGCAATTGTGAAATTGGGTAGAGTGTAACTCCAGAAGATATTCAATTAATTACTGGAAGTATCATACAAATCAGACCTGTTAAGCACACAGAAATTACTAGGAGCTAGCAAGGCATGTCGAGATAAAAGTAAATCCTCCTCGGTACTTCCCTCCCTCTCTTTTGGTTTTGTTTTCTCTTTCTATATATATTTACATCAGAAATCAGGTTTTGTTCTTGCTCTCTCTGCTGCATTTCCAAGGAGATCAGCTTTGGTTGAAGCAGAAAGCCTGGAAGGCCCCTTACCTCCTGCCCGGACGGGTGGTCCGCAGAGCAGCACGACTCCCTGGCCCTCCCGCACCGACACCGCGCTCCTCATCTTCACCCGCGAGCTCTCAGGGTCTGCTTGGGAGAGAAAGGTGAGCTGGGTGTTAGGAAACAGCAAAGGTTAAATATGTAGGAGCTTCAGGTTCTCAAACCCTCACACCAGATGTCATAGCAGGCCGGTCACTGATTCTTCCAAATTTAGAGAAAATTAAAAGGCTCTGATGAAAACAGCACCAAGATCCTACCAAGCCCCTCTGACCACCCATAAAATAATGCTAATAACAGAGCTGTTCAGAAGATGGATACGTATCTCTCCAAGCAGAAGAGAAACCCCTCGACCATCTCCTGGGGCAGAATCCCTTGTACCATGGCCAAGCTCTGCTGAAGACAAGCACTTTGTGCCTGGGCGCATTGACCCGGGGCTCTGCTCTGCCTGCCTTCAGGTCTTCTGGGACCTTTTTAAGCTGTGTAAGAGTGGAAACATGCTACAGGCTATCTAAAAATGCAAAATTGCAGAGCAGCAGTATTTTATCATAAATTTAAATTGCCTTTTCCTCTAACTGGTGATTCAAGATCCAAAGGACAGCCTCATTAAACCCTTGAATTGAGCTCGATAGAACATTCAAAACAAACTAAGGTTGAGGTTCTACACTAAGAAAGATTTTTCCATGAATAAACAATGTATTTTCCCCATGATAAAACCAAACAGAAGGCAATTTTTAAAAAAAAAAACACATTTGTTTATAAACTTGTAAAGGATACTAGCACGTAGTCTGTAAAATAAGGCTTATTATGTAACCAAACATAATAGGTACTGTTGTTCAACTCACTACTGTCTCCCAAAATATTGTATTTTTTGGTACCAAGCAACAGCTGTTAGTCAGAACATTGAGCAAAAGCAATGAGAATTTCTGTGCTTTATTTAAAAAATAAACCCACCACATTTAATGCCACGATAAGGTACCTTGTTCCTGCACACAAAGCTCATAAGAAAATTCCTTACAAGGGCTGTTTTCAGCTTTCCAACTGAATTTCCCTGCAGGGACATCTCAGGGCCTATGTTGGCATGCACAGATTAAGTTTGGGTCCTTCTGCTGGACACACTGTAGTCAAACACCACCACACACAAACTGGTTTCAGTGGGAGCTCAAAAGAGGGTGCTCTGCCATGCAGTTCAGGCCTTTTAAGCAGCTTTCTCTTCCCTCCATAACAATACAGATTCATGAGCCACCCCCCAGTCATGAAAGGAAGAACCAAGAGCTGACAGCACACCAGAGGACAAGCTGTAGTCTATATTAAGGTGAAAACAGCTACACAATTTCGATTTACATAGAAAATTTAGTCCAAATTTTGCCCTCTTACATCACAACCACCGTGAGCCGTAAATCTTATGCAACAGAGAAGTTCTGTAATTAAAATTAAATGGTTTATCTCTGCGTTCCAAGCACATACATTCAGTTATTGCAAATATAAACCTTCAGAAACTTGGTTCTCTTTGTGCTGACATGACACCAGCAGGATGGGATTGGGCTGGAAACATCATGGGAAGGGACACGACCTGGGGGACACGCTGAGGCTTTTGGAAGAGCTCGTCCTCCTCATCCAGCAGGGACACAGGACAGCTCTGCAGTTCCATCTGCTGCAAGGAGGTTCTGCAGAAGTTATCACTCTCTGATTGCAGATGAGGACTGCTCTCACAGGGGAACAGGTTTTTGGGAAATAAGGAGCAATGCAAAACCCACCAGCAAGTGAGGAACACGAGCTATACCACAAAGAATCATTTTGCACTAATTACCAGGAAGTTCTCCATCTTACCTTGTAGAGTGGTTTAAGTACCAGACTAATCACACAGCTGCAGAAATATCATCACTTAATTCATCTATATACTTATATATTCTCTTTACACATTGTCTGCTGCCACTTTGAAAATAATTAAAAATCACTGTGCAAATAGTAATAGAGTTCTCCACAAATCTGAATCTCTGACCTTGGAAAGTACTCTCTGTTTATGTACAAGATTGTGGTCTGATTTTGGGGCATCTCTGCAGCATTTTCAGAGTATTAGAGGACGAAACCCAGTCCTGTTTGGTGGACTATCAGGACTGACTGAGCTGGGGTTGGTTTTGGTTTTGTTTGGGATTTTTTTTTCATTTTTCTTTTTTTTTTTGCTTTGGGTTTGGTGGGTTTTGTTGCTGGATTTTGTTTGCTGTTTTGTTTTTTATAAAGCCAGTATCTTAACAGCAATAACACTATGGAGAAGTGCTGTATCTTCTAACAAAATTTGCTCTTACATGAAATCATTGGGAAAGAACATTAAGTTCTCAGAAAACTGACAGGGTAAATAAAATACTGTAAAAGGTGGGCAAATAATGGAAAAGAGTGTTTACTTTTACAGATCGATTTGTATCTCTGGAATCAGAGGCTCTTACCCTGCTGAAATGTCTTAATAGATAAAATATAACTGGAAACAATGAAGATAAGAACAGGGCAGAAGATGCTTTTGAGATGCAATGATTCAGAATAGGACTCACTTTTCAGCTCCCCATGGGGTGAGAATTTCCCATTGTTTTGTATGAAAAAAAAGGGTAGAATCATACATAAATATGTCTGTGTTTTGTCTGTTGATCTGTGGGTTTTCTTAGTGACCATTAGATTTCAAAAATTTTATCTACCTGCTTGAACCAGTAAGCAAAATAAAGTATTTTAACTCTCTTGCCTACATCTTTTTACTTCTTACTTGCATTTGTTCTGATTCATTATGTCCCAGTTAACCTCCTTCCACACAAAATGCCACCAATTCCTGTAGGAAATGAGCAACATTAGTCCTAAACTCTACCAGGCAAAGTTCCTCATCATAACACTGGAAATATTTTGGTAAAAATATTACAAAAATGTGACTACACAAGGGGAAAAAAAAAAATTGTTACTTACATTCTATCTACAACTGTGTAATTTGCAAATTAAATGTTTTTATTGCCTTTTTATAGTTTGCCATATAGAAGAAAGTTTAAAACTAGCAACTGAGACTTTTCTGACTCCTGAAACAGCATTTTCTTCTCCTTTCCCCTGCTAATACATATATTTCCATTATTGCTTTAGCACCAAGTACATAAAGTTACATCAACAGAAATACACATGCCATTGCAATAAAATGGAGCAAGAAAATGTAATTCAGCTTTATTGAAAAGTCTTTTATTCTGCCCGAAAAGGAGAACAACGAAACGTGGGTTTGCACATACAAACAGCAAGGATATGAAAACTGCATATTCCACTGGGTTCTCTCCTTCCATATAATCAGCTAAGTTTTAAGACTCAAGCACATTGCTGAGAATGATTTCAAAATACAGAGCAGCAGTTACATGAGCCTCACACCCTGTAATAACTGTTTCATGCATTTGGGAACAGAACCATTTAAATGTTCACGTGACACTCATGAAAATGAAAATAAAGGGATTTGGGAATTCATTTGGGTAAGAGAATGCACTGCCTGACACATGTGTGGAAGGTAAACCAGACCTTGTTCTCCCCCGATGTCAACACATCAGAGAGAATAACAAAGTTCTCTTCACCTGCAGAACACATCCCTGCTGACAGCATTCATCCTGCTCACTGCAAGTTCCTTCTACAGTGTTTCTGGTTCCTGTGATCTTGTGGAGTCATGGAGGCAATAAGTGAACAGATCGTGCAGGATCAGATCAAATATTATACCTGTGCTTTGAAAAGACACAGACCATCACGTCAAGAAAAATCCAGAGAATTTCTGCTGGCCAAGCTGCTCCAGAGAGATGCCTCCTACCTAGCTTGGGGCAAGACTGAGTTGTATCACATTCTGCCAAGAAACTTGTGTGATGTTTCCCCCCTAGTCACACCTATCTGTACATTGGATCTTCATAACATTAGTAAAGGCTGCCAGAAATGAAAATAAATAAATAAAGTGTTGGTATGAAGTAATGCACAGGACACACTCTCTCCCTGGAGAGGAGAAGGATTCTGTTGGTTTCCAAGTCCAGTGACACCCAAGCCTCTTATTACACTTACAACAGGTGCTATTTATTGTCAATAGATGTTTATTAGCAATTCTACCATGTTTCAATAGCTGCAAAACAAGGGTTCATGCTCTACAAACATCATAGCCCCTGAAGAGCCACAAAAATATTTAGTCCATTACTTCACTAGACTCATTATTATTCAAAGCAGCAGAACTTGTTAAACAGACTTTATGTATAATTCTGTGGTAGTAGGATGTTCAAGTACCTAAATGAGTCAGACAACCAAATTCTTAACTGTTTTCTTGAATAGGTAATTCTGAAGTGGGGACTTTGCTGTCAGCACATAACGAAGGGCTAATTCACAACCCGCTCGCCCTGCTAAAAGTCACATGATTAAAAAGGAATAAAATACCAGTCTCTGAGCTCTTAAGAAAGAATAACAGCCTCAGCGTGTTGTAATAGCTATGCTGGTAATGCCAGCTTCTGGAGAGAACAGAATAAGACACATTTAGAAATAAAAACTAAACCAACAAAACCTTTCAGCACCACCTAAATCACCGAGGTGCATAAGCAAACCTTCTTCCTCACCACTCTATACCCCAAAATTGGCTCTGCCAAGGCACTTCTGTGACCATCTATTTTATACTGCTTTAGACAGATACCAGAAACAGGGTATACTTGGCATAATTTTAAGCTTCTTAAAAATTATTGGTACCTGCCCCAAAGAAATAGTTGGGATACATGCATTGCCCGCAGGCACACAGCACTTGGAAAAGGCACAACAGAGCTGCCCAGGCAGCAGGTGGGACTTTCTGCTGCCTTCCTGGGCCTCAGATCAAGCCTGGGAGAACCATGCTGGGGAGGGAGGGATGAGATTAAAAATTCTCTCTATAATCAATTATTGTTGGAGGCAGAGCAGAACAATATTAGCGGTGCTAAAGTGAACGTTACTTAAAGCACACAAAGAACTGTGGTGATTTGTCACCCAGGCTACTGGGGAACCATGTCCAGAGTTTCACTTTGGTCAGGCTGGTGTTACAGGGAAATCCTTTAATTTCACAGCAACCTCTACAAAATCTGTTAATGCTGGGCCACTGCTGAGCTCCTGTTTTATAGCATGGTGTTTATCTGTATGAAGGTAACAGCACCATGGTTACACACACACTGCAGAGTATTTTTAACCCAGTATTCCAGGAAAAGAAGCAGCTCTGACCCCATGAGTGTCCTGCACCCAGGAGCAGCAGCACTGCTCCCCAGGCTGAGACCCAGCCCTGCTGCCACCAGCCACCCCATGCCCTGGACATTTCACACCCTAAAGCTCCAGGACAGGTGATCCTGCCCAAAGGATCCTGATTCCAAAGCAGAAAGGACCTCCCATGCTCAAGGCACTTGTTATTCACTCCCCATGAACTTTATTGTGCTCCTGTCTCCATTCCTGTTACATTAACTTCATTCAGCAAAGCCCATCTGAGTCTGTGTTTTCCACCCATAGAAATGCTGCTAATAAAATGCAGAAAACTTCTATGTAGAGGAAGGAGGTGAAAGAAAAAATCCTGCAGGTAGTTTCCATTGTATGAAAAGCAGAACATCTAACGAGCAAGCCATGCAAGGGTTAAGAGTTGCAGAGAACAGCACCAACCAACACCAAAAACTTACAAAACTTCTCAATATTTCACCTCCCCTTAAATCAATTGGGGTGCAGAAAAAAAAGAAAAAAAGAAACTGGAAAGAATTAAGCTCTCCGACATCAAGCAAAGAAGAATCATTTCAAAGTCATACAACAAAACTCGTGTTGCATCAACATAAATAGGGGAAGCTCAAGAGAACTTGGCAGGGGTGCCTCAGAGTGTGGTGAACATGAGATGCCAGCCTGGAAAGACAGAGAAGAGTCTCCAGTAAGGAGGGAGGAGGAGGGATGAAACATCTTTGTGGGCTCTGTGGAACAGAAGGAAGAGCCCAGAGACTGCAGAGTAACAAAGCAGTAGAGGAACATTAATAGCATAGATGTTGAGTCAACATCTCATGAGCAAGGGTTTTTTTTTAAAAAATGCATTTAGAATAGCATTGCAACAGAAATGCATGTTTTGAGAGAGACACATTCTCCAATCAATATTTCAAAAAATACGCCTTCCAAAAATTCCTATTATCTGGCAAACAGCAGTGAACAAAAGCAATTCAAGGAATTTAAGAATTATCTCAGGAGGGAAGGATGTTTGCTCGAGCAACTTATCCTACAGCCGAGTTCTCAGGTGCAACACAGATTTTTGCCTCCCTAAAGCTTTCCTAAACCAAACTCTAAGAATATCCTGACAGTCTATAAAGCACCTCCACCACTAATCTCTCGTGACCAGAGCAGGTTTAATGCTGAAGAACATCAGGCTATTCCTGTTTTAATAAGCAGATGGCCAAATGCTTTGCCAGACCTCAGCTTAGTTACCTGAAGGTTTATTTAATAAATAAGTAGCAATGTTTCCAAGACTTCCCTCAATGAATAAATGAAAGAGAGCCATCCTACAACAGTTCTTTTCTGGAGAACAGGGAATACGCTGATGACAAAAAGATTATTTCCTCTGCTGCTGACTTCCCTCCTTTATCTTTCCAAAGATATTGCTTAAAGGAATGGACAATTCTCCCACAGATATGACAGAACATAGCTGGGTTGTCACCAGAAAGTATTGCTAGGATACGGGTAACCAAAATCTGTCATCTTCCCCATCTCACTTGGTATGGAGCACCTGGCAAAGAGCCCCACTGCTTTGATTAGGGCCATATGGACTATAACAGATGTAATGATGACAAATAACAGATAGAGCAGATGAGTAAGTGTCCCATCAACAGATGTCTTACCACAGCTGCTGCTTCATGTATAAAAATACTTGTTAGTCAGCATAAAAATCTGATATTCACAGACCTTCAAAATATTTACAATTCTCATCTCAAAATACACATCCTACCTGGGTTAAGCAAAACAATAGGAGATGCACAAGTTTATACAGAGCTGCAAACATGAGGAATGCTGCAAACTCCAACACAGCTAATGAAAACCACGGCCCCTGGAGCAATCTGTACCATCTTTATGGGGCTGCTCCAGCTCTCCAGAATGAGCCTCCAGCTTTCACAGCCTGCAGACCACCTCTCTGAGGATCAGGCTCTCCGAAGCTCTGCCACCCCAAGAGAGTGTCTTGCTGTGATTAAAACTCTGTGATTAAAACAGCGTTATCTGTTCATGTCTGTCCTTCTGCCAGCAGCTTTGCAGCCAGAAGGCACGTGCCATGGAACAAGCCACCTCCCCACCCATGAGCTACAACACTGGAGTCATTTGCCTAGCAGAGAGCAAACCTTAACCCATGACCTACCCCACCAACATCACCAGTGCCAATTTCTTTTCCAGAATCAGCTGGGTTTTACCTCTAGCTCCAGCTGCTGTTCTGTGCTTTTAACGTTAGCTGAAGAGCTAACACTAACAGATGGCTATTTTATGGTTTTATTTTAATAATTCTCTAGTATAGTTTCACAACCTAAGAGCAGAGACATTTTTTCGGGTACATTACAGCTCAACTATTTAGTGTAATAAAAGAAGTATAAAGGAACTTAGAGATGGTGACTATTTCTACATAAGTGAATTCAGCAACCCACTTGAAGTAAGCCATGGAGGAAATAGAGTGCAAGCACAGAAATGAATACTGCATTCATTTTTCACTGAATCATATTTACAAAGGAATCCAGAGGAAATTCAAACTTTTAGTTTTATTATCAAAGTTACGGGTAGATGAAAAATGCAGTGGCAGGAATAAAAGTAACACATTTTTCATGGCAGCACATTTGCCTAGTTCATGTAGAGGAAGAAGAGTTATTTTACTGTATCAACTATTCACATCACAATTTTAAGCAAGAGGTAAGTGAATTTTCACATCTGACAAATAAAATAACTCAGACTCAGTACCCTGAAGATAGCACAGGGTACTGACATTAATTGCTTCTTTGATGCTCAAATCTAACATTTCTGAAACAGGGATATAATACACTCTTCCTTGGGTGCTCCACTCCAACTGCAGCAGTATCTAGCTGAGTACAAAGATGTTGCCACAGAATAAAACAGATTCTGGATAACTGCTGCAAACATTTATGACTATAAATCTCTTGGATTACTAGCTAGGATTAGACTACATTAACTGGCTCAGAAGGACAGGAGAGATAAGAAAAATGATCTGTTTCTATCCAGGCACTGTACAGCAACACTGAAGTTGTAGTTTAATGGATGTACAGGAGAACATCAAAACAAACCAGAATATATTTTGTTCAATTTACAGTAGCCCAAAGTGTCTACAGCAGATGGTCTGTAGTTACTTTCTTTATGGACTTCAGGGAACTGGGATTCAGTGAAATGCATTTCATGCACGATGATGCATCATGTCATGATGTCATTTGCAGCTGACAAGCAAACTGGTATTTTCTGTTGCAGATAAGGCAGGAAAAAAAATGAAAGAAAAACCCTCATCATTGCACTGCTGACAGTGGGAATGTTTAAAACAATAAAGATTTGCCAGGTTCACATAAAAAACAGACATGAAAAATGTAACTTTATCTCTAGGAGACAGGAGATTGTACAGTCCAAGCAGCAGAATCATTTCTTGAATGCTGAAGATGAAAGCCAGATGATGAAGAGTTTCTCATGAAGCTGTATCTCCAACCTGTACACAAGCATGAGTTCTTAAAAAAAATTATTTAAATAAGAAGCTAAAACACATTGCATAATGTAATTCAGTATTCTTGTGCAAACATATTACTCTGTAGCCCCTAACAAAATTAAAAGAACATACCGAGGTTGCAAACTCAATTATTTGGAGTTAGAAAATGCCAGAATTAAAGTTGCATAAGCTCACAAATATTGGCCAGGAGAAAAAAACAAACCCTAAGCAGGAAGACTTCAGCACTGAAGTCTTGGATGGGAAGATACATCAGTCCCTGTTGGCTGGGGTCACACTGCAGCTGGGAAAGGCACGGAGGGACACTTGTCCTGCCAGCAGGAGAGAGGCCACCAGGAAGGTTTTGAACACGGATCCCATGGAGCAGCCTCCCAGATTGAAATCCCCAGATCCAGAGAGCTCCACCCCCAAAGCCATGGTTTCTCTGGGCATCTGGGATGCTTTAGCTTGTGATGCAGTTCCTACATGTTTCTGCCATTACTCAGACCACCTTTGTTGCTGTTCTGTCCTCTCTCAGCTTCCCTTCAGTCCTTGCTTCCCCACCAGTGTCTGCTTCCTCAACTCTTACCAACACTCAGGCTTAGCACATTCCTCAGCTTTTCTTAAAACCTCTTTATCCTCAGTCTCATAAAACTCATCCTGCCAGTCCCTCATCCCTCATTTGAGACCATGATGTTAATTGCAAGCAACTAAATTCCTCTACTCTACCCTTTTCTCTTCATCCAGATGGATTTCATAGCTTTTCCTGGGATCTGTCTCATCTTAGTAGGAATGCCAGACTCCATTAGGTGAGTGTTACAAAGAAATAGCAATAAAGAGCAAGGAATGGGAGCAATCAAGAGTTGTACTTCCATAGTAAGACTTCCCATGTAAAGGAAGACCTAGACTGGGATTTTCTTGCCTACCTCTAATGTAGCTGGGGAAGGAGATGCTGCAGTGAAGCTGGGAAACTTCAGGGAGCAGAATTTGATGGAGGTGTTTCTTAAACACCTCAAATGACTAAAAGTCAATTCAACCAAAACAGCCTAAAGTGCATCTCAAAGCCATCTGGCCTCATTTGGGAGCTGCTCAATATGGGGAGCTGCTGATTGGTACTAAAGTTTCCTGTTATGAGAGCAGCCAGGTTCTTGTCTTACCTGAAAACCTCTCCTTTCCTCAAGAGCTGCTGAATATATTTAATTAGTTTTCAAGAGTCTGAATGTTCAGTGGGAAGTGTCAAATTATTCTGTGTCTATGGCAAGGTGCAGCAAGCATGGAGTGCATGGCAGCTCTTGCTGAGCCCTGACTCCATGATCCTGACAGGATATTTAAGGAAGTTTGATGGGTGGTTGCAACTGGTTGCAACCAACACTCACAGCCAGACTTGCTGCAGCACTGCTTCTTATCTATGCTGGAATGTGTTTTCACTGTAAGAAACCTTCTTATACTTGTCCCTTCCCATCAACAGACTTGTAGCAGTCACTAAAAGGAATTATTTGGAGCAGAGGGAAGGGATAATGAAGGGGTAACCAGCACTGTGACCTGCAAGGCTAGTGCTGGCTTTGCTGCAGCCCACTCACCTGCCCATCACATTTTCACAGGAATCAATTCTTAGGTAGGACAACTAAATGTTGGAGCCAGATAAACTCAAGTTAGAATTAAAACTCCAGACAGTCCAGAAGAAGCACTAAGTTACTGCACACTGGATAAGGGTTTAACACCAGGGTTATCAAATAAAATTGTATTGTGATATATCCAGGAGATCAAAACACATCATCTGGCAGTTCCTTCTTATCTTTCATCTTAGAAAGACACGAATAACCTATGGCACAGCTTCTTTTCTCAGATCTAAAGTCCTGTAAACACTACCTTTTATCCTGCCGAAGAATCACTCAGTTCCTACACAAACACATGCTAATCAGCCTGACTGAACGACAGACAAAGTCTCCCCCCCTGCCATTAAGCCAAAATTTCCTTTGCTCTGTCACACATCTATTTCTGCCCTTCACATCCCCTATAAAATCAGAATGGCCTTTTCAGTACATGTGCCAGAGCTTCAGCCTGGTTACAAAACCTCTCTTCCAATACTAATCATTGCTCTGACCCAGATATAATAGACAGACATTTAGAGAACAAGCAGTATAATCCCCACGCAGAGACCAAAGCCCATGTTTTGGTTTGTAAAAGCAAGAACAATAAATGCTATGCAATTGAAGAGAGGGGTAAAGAGATGATAAAAATTGCTCAGGCTGAATTGGTATCTGATTCTGCATCATCTGGGGGAAGAACAGGAGACCCTTGCAAGCATGGCTCGGAATAAATTAAATTCATTACACAGAGCAATGACGTGTGATAAGAACTCACTCTAACTTGAACTACTTGGACAACTTATATAGTGACAAATCAATGCAATTCAGGGTGTGTGGCTGACAAGTTCCATGGCCTAGCAGCCCTTTTCCAGCCTCTAGACTGACATCATCTTCTCATGGACACTGGGATGTAGGAATCAATTTTACCCTTGCCATGGAGTCAGTATACTGCAGTCTTGAAATATGTTTAGGTCCCACAATTCAGACACAAATCTCAGATCTGGAATCTCTTGACTTTCCCCTCCCCCCCCCAATAAAGAAGGATTATTATAAAGGTTTCTAAAAGAAAGAAGATAGTCATTCCACTGAATCCTCATCAGAAAAGCTAAGAGAAAGAAAAATACAGGATGGATAAGACAGAACCTAAGGAGATACTATAGTTACTTTTAAATGGAAGTGAACAGAGCAGTTATACACAAGGATGAAAGGATATCTAAGAGCAGTAAGTGCTATTAAGAATCAAAGTTATGAAATACTAAAGAAAAAAATGCTAAATTTTATGATGCAAAGAAGCTGATCATCCAAAAGAATTCTGAGAAGAATGAAATAAAGCCAGAAAAAGATATGTATTAGGAAATTAGAGGCTCAAAACCAGCTGAATGCAAAGAGGTGTGAACAATTGGTAAGGAAATGCAGAACAACTGTCAATATCAGATCATTGATAATCACAAGCATCATATCATAGACTTATTTGGTACTCAGGGAGCTATTCATGAAGCCCCTTGGCAAATCACAAACAAAGAGTTCAGAGAGCAGATGAGAAGCTGTGGCAATGTAGAACCAGTCCCCATAGCAAGAAAACAAATAAATCACTGACTCGTTTGATTATTTAACTTCATTATTGGATAAAATAGCAGGACATACAGTAGAAGCAATCAATGTAAAAGCACCAGGAAAATACAAATCATCAGAGATTACAAAAAGTTCATAAAGAGAATCTGCACTCAGTGACATGACAACTGCTGGGGTTTTGAACATGTCCCCCCAGACACCAGTTTCAAGCCATCATATACAAGCTCTAATCCCATCCACCAACTCTGCAAGATCACCAGGCTCTCCATCCCAATATAATAAAACCATTAACATGAAGTTGAGGAGTTTTCTGAAGCAGTACCACTTGTATATCACAAACAAAACACTGATTAAACTTAAGACTCAAGTTATTCTTCTAAATCACTAATATTTAAACGTGGTATAGCTGGTTTTGGATAAAGAGGCTTTGACTTGCTTATTCCATGGTAAGTGATATTAGAAAAAAACCACTGTATAAACTTTTAGTAAGAAGCTACAAAAAT